ATAGATGGATGGAAGGAAGGAAGAAAAGAAGGAAGGAAGGAAGGAAGGAGGGAGGGAGGGAGGGAAGGAAGGAGAAGAGAGGAGAGAGGAGAGGAGAGGAGAGAAGAGAAGAGCTGGACAGTGCCTAGGGATAACAGAAGAATAGATGCCTTCGAGTTGTGGTGCCAGAGAAGAGTCTTGAACATACCATGGACTGCCAAGAAAACAAATAGGTCTGTCTTGGGGAGAGTGAAGCCAAGTCTCTCCTTGGAGGCTAGGATTTTGAAGCTCTGCCTCACTTACTTTGGGCATGTGGCCGGGAGAGATTGATCCTCGGAGAAGGACATCATGCTCAGAAGGGTGGAGGGACAGCACAGGAGCGGAAGACCCCAGATGAGATGGATTGATACAGTGACTGGGGCAATGAGGGTTTGTGTGTCAGAATCAGTGAGACTGACTCAGGACAGGGCAGGCTTCAGAGCTGCTGTACACAGGGTTGCTGTGAGTTGCAGGTGACTCGTCAGCACATAACAACAGCATAGTCATGTGTGTATTTGTGTGTGTGCGTGCGCACCTGTGTGAAGGGAGAGACATGGTGAGAGGCAGAATTGGTCTCGACCTTCCGACTACTGTGTTTGTCTCCGTGTTGTGTGGTTGAGTTAGAACTGACTCATATCTGACCCTCCCGTGGGTTTGCAGAGGCTGTAAATTGCATGGGAAGAGAGTGCCTGACTTTTCCCTGTGGAACTCTCCTGGTGGATTCGAACTGTGCACTTTTGAGGGGGCAGGAGTTCCAGGCACCACACCGATGGACCAGATTTCAGGAGAGAGGCTTCTCCGGGCTCCTTTTACTTTGGAGGCTGAGAGATTCAAAGCCACAGGTAGACAGGCCGCTGGCTCAAGTCCAAAGACCTGGAGGTGACCAGTCAAAGCTGATCTAGTTGGAGCAAAAACAGGACAAAGACCAGGCACCAGTCCATCGCTCCGACCTGTGGGCTTCCTCCTGTCTTCCTCATGACCTGCGCCTTCCATCTGCCCCCCCTTGCTTCCCCGTGAGTGGCTTCCCCATGATCTGTCTTCCCCATGACCGGTCCTGCAGCCTGCATGGCCCACGTGCAGTCTCGTCCCTTCGATGGGAACCAGTCCATGCTGATGTGTCCCTGAGAGACAACATAATTCAGTCACTCTTTGGAAATGAGATTTTGAATCTGGACCTTATGGAGATAATGCCTTAATCCTATCTCGGATTTTAGCTTAGCTACTGACCTCGTCTGTCGTCAGAAACAGGCCAGGCGTTCAGTGTGTGGACAGCACAGTGTCTGCATTTCTCCACAGAGAAGGTAGCACCCATTTCCCAGTGCTGAGAGCTTCCACTGGAGACCAAGGTCTTCAAGGTGCTTGTTGCAGCCAGGTGCACCCTGAAAATATATGCAGAACAAACAAATACAGAAAAGCATAAATGACAGATAGTCCCTAGAGAGTTGTACCGCAAACCCAAAGGTCAGGCCTCGATGGGGGAGCGAATCTGCAGCTGCCCTGAGGGGGACAGGGGTGGTGTCCACCGTGCCGCCTCTGAAGACCCGCTGGAGGCCGGTGAGGAGCCCTTCTGACTCAATGGCTGTGAGACTGGAGTTTTATCTTGAATGGGTGCAGAGGTGAGCGCTTTTCAGGGCACTGGTGAGTTCTGTGGCAGAGAGGGGTAGAAGCTGGCGTCGCTGAGGGCACTGAGTTTCTGTAGTGAGATGACCTGGAGGAGGACGGGGTGACGGATGAACAGTTTTACTAATCATGGAATCGTAAGCAGGTGTTGAAATGGTCACCGATTTCTTGTCTGTGTATTTATGGGTTTGTTAACGCTTGGTTAAGTCCTCATCCCCCAGGGAACTTGGGAGTCTGTGTTCAGAGGGAGCTGGGCTGGTAACTCGGGGGCCACTCTTCTCTGTCAGTTCACATCCACCAGTGACTCTGTGGAGAAACAGGTCAGTGTCCACCCAGGGGGATTTACAGCCCTGGGGACCCACGGGAGGGCCGCTGTGAATCAGTTCTGGAAATGAGCCGAGCTGAGTGTCTCATAAGCACTACAGTGTGGAGAGCTCTTAAATGTGCTGAAGGGAAAAATCCAGAGCATGGCTGTAGCCGTCAGGCACGCACGCACCGTGAGGGCACCACACTGTGCACCCACACGTAGCACACACGTGCAGCACTCAGACACGCTGTCACACATGTAGATAATGTATGGGTAAGCCGTAGTGCACACATGCACCGTGTATGCACACGCACAGTTCATGGACACGCTATAGTGCACATATGCGTCATGCATACACACACAGGCGTAATGCACACACACGCCGCGACGCACACTGTATCACACATGTATCCCAGATGCCTGCGTGCATGTGTGCTTGGATTCCGCATGACCGCGTTCATGTGAAGTCTTTCAGAGCCGCGGACACAGTGGCACGAAGCCCACGGGCGAGCTTGTGTGCTGAGCGATGCCTCGGACCGAGAGCTCCCACGCAGGCTTGGCAGAGTCCGAGCGGGAGGAGGTGCCGTGTGGACTGATGTGGTTGTGGACACAGCACATGGAGACCCCAGAGGACACAGTGGGGCTGCCCCCTGGTTTCTGAGGTGGTTGTATTATGGAAGGAGAACCCTCCATCGTGCTCCCTGGGGATCCTGGCGGGTGCAAACTGCTGACGTTCTGGGGAGCTGAGGGGCACTGACACAGAGCTCCCCCAGGGCTTCCTTGGGACACCTCTGCGTCTGTGAAGTGAAGTCTCACCGTCCGTGCTCTGAGGACCCGAGCTGTGCTTCTTGTGGACAGACAGGCTTGTCCTTTCGGCAGGCCGTGGGAGAGTCCATGCCCTTCTCCACCCCCAGCTCAGACGGTGAACCGCTGTCTCACCTCCTTTGTCCTGTTGTCAGGAGGGACCTGTCCTAGGAGAGAGACGGCTTTGTAGCAAAGGCGGAGGGCCAGAGGACGAGGAAGACGTCTGTCCATCTCGCTGTCTCTAGAGATCTGTGTCTCTCTGCTGTCCAGGCCGCACTGTGTGTTGAGGAGAAGCTCACTCCTGGGACCCTCTGTGGCTCATTCCCAGAAGGAGAGCTCCAGGCCTGTCCTCCGAGCCACCTCGCGGGCTCTGTGAGCCAGCAGCCAGACATGTTGGTGAACTCCATCTAGACAGGGATCCTGTGGACTCCTGGATTTATGCAGTCTGAGGGTTCAAGGTCACCCAGAAGCTGGGAGGGAAAGCCACTGAATAGCCAACGAGCCAAGCCTTCCACTGTGAACACCTTACAGCTGACGCGGGCCTCCCATATGAACACCCAGTCCCCCGAGCCCCCTGTGAACACCCGCGCCTCCCCTGTGAACACCTGGGCCTCCCCTGTGAACACCCGCACCTCCCCTGTGAACACTCAGCAGGCCCGGCCTTCCCTGTGAACACCTTCCTGTGTTCCCTGTCTCCTGCTTCCTTCCGGACACACTGATGCCCCAATGAAGAATGGTGTGGGAGGTAGGGTTGGGAGGGGAGAGACAGTGATATTAGCAGATGGACGGGGAGGGGGAAAGAGAAGCGAGGGTACAGTGAGGATTTGATAAGATACTGTAATTGATATAAAACAAAATGTATGTGAATGATTGATGAAAACCAGTTTAAAAACTTTACGTATATGCTGTTAGGGACCTCTCCAAAGTATGGAAGAGCAATGGTGTCTCTTTGGAGAGTAAGGTGCACTTGATACAGGCCATGGTCTTTACAATCACTTGTTAATCATCAGAGA